CACAAATCATCGATTTAACTGTTTAAACGTCTCCAATTAATGAGAATAGGTAATGCCCAAGATAAAAGTAATGTTGTAAATTTTCCGAAAAAAATTTACCTAAACAATTTAAATTGTTGGGATTTTTTTCTTAATTTTTAAAGCTAATCTTAATCATTATCGTAGTCGAGCACTCTATCCTGTATGTTAACAAAGATTGACTTTCATTGAGGAAAATCAATAAAATCTTTATCAAAACACATAATCGGAAAGAGTGGGATTCGAACACAGAACCCATAGATTTTAAGGTACTCTAAGTCAAAAAAATTTGTTTATGTATGGTGTTAGAATTTTACTTTTAAAATTATTAATTTTAAATTATAATACATTGATATATTATAGGTTTTTTTGTGAGTATTTGCAACACAGGATTTAGTTTAATGAAGTAATACAAGGCAATTTAAGATTTTACACAGGTTATATGCACCTTTCTAACACTAAAGAAATACAGCTTAACTAGAATTAAAACATACATTTTCTTTCGATTTTGACTTCAAGCACGTGAACTGGCTTTCCGATTGCAACTTGTAAGATTTCGCTGCTGACCACTTTAGTCCCACGATTAAAACCACCCCTAGCCAAGAAACAGCGAGTCATCAGGACCCACCTTTGGCCAGGACCCCAAGCAAGCCAGGCTGCCAGGAAGAAGCAAACCATCCTCACGCTCGTTTCTGGCCACAATTTATGCCTCGAAACGCTCCTTGAACCGGGACACGCAACCCAGCCCCCGCATTCCGAGTGCCCCGGGGGCAATGTGAAATAAAAAGGATAAAAACTGAAGCAGCGAACTGCATTCATCTGGCCACAATGCTCGCTACCTACACAAGTACAAACAAACGATGGCGTGCCTCTCGGGATTCCAAATGGCAAAAGTGTGGGGGCACAAACGGGGTCGGGATACTTGGCGTATACTTTGTGCCACGACTACTTTTTACTTTTCTTTAACATTATTTTGCACTTTTCAATTAAAAAAGTGTGCACCCCACGCAGCCAGGGAGCCGGGGAGCCAGAGAGAACCAGAAAACACCAGGCAAACCCGTCAGACACAAGCCAACAAACTACGGCAAAGGGCAAAAGTAACCCCAAAAGCGGTCGAAACACTCCAATGAGGGAATGAGTGGGTGGTGAAAGTTGGGTGGGTAGTGGTGGTAGAACCAGCTGCCATAATTATAATTTCTTAATGCAAATAAAAACTCGCTGTGCTGATTTTTCGCTTTTGTAGAGGACCACAATTTAAACATTATGGACTTTTACTTGGACGCTTCGCGTTCGCTCTCTCATTTGTGGCAATGCCCTATATCTGATAGTGGGTCTTCAGGCTTTTAATTCAGTGAGTCTTATTAAAAAAAAAAGGACAAACATGTGAAAACTTGTCAAGCTGCTATGAATTATTTGGAACTTGAGCTTCAAAATGATAAAACCAACGCAGTATCTTCTCAAAAAACTATCCTAATCTTTATAAAAAAGAATAACCTTAAATTTAATACAATATGTAAAATATTTTAAAGCTATATTTATTTTTAAAGGCAGGTAACTATATATTGGAGGTAAATATTTATACTCTCCAATATTTTAAACATCATTAAACTCATTTAGGTTCAAAAAAGTTTTAAAAATATTTCGCAAATATTTTCTGAAATACCATTCTTAAAACTATCTTAATCTTTGTAAAAATAGATGTCTTAATTATGATGTTGCGTCTCAATTCTATTAATAACTAAATACCGTTTCTTCATATATATAGATGTACATATTTTTAGGAAAAGTAGGTAATTTCAATTGCCTTTTAGCCTGAGAATAAATAAATAAATAAATTTTTAGGAAAAGTATTCTAGTCTTTAATAATTTAAAGATCTTTAAACCTAAAATGGGGTCAGAAAAGTCGTTTTGTGCCCCAGTTACATGTGGATGTTACATTTTTATATAAATTTCGCAAAATACTTCGTGAAACATTTCAGATAACAAAAGAAACTCCAACAAAGGGTGTACCGCTTTCAACTTATCGCTCAAATATACTGCAATCTCACGGTTGTTTTTCTTTTTCTTGCGCATTGCCAAGGAAAATGTAAAAAAAGAAAGGGTCAAAATGGGAATTTTCTGCTGTTCCTGTTTCAGAATCCCGCCCTTTTGCTCCAGCTCCTGGCTTTTCCATCCACCGATGTTGACCATTGTGGCCATTGCAGTGCCAACAAACATGCATAGTTAATGAGCGAAATAAAAAAGCTGTGGCCCCTTTGCCACACACACATCGCACACACACCCATTCGTACATACATATTTAAGGGCCTGGCTTTTCAGCACGGTGCGCAATGAGCTTACGTGGCGTATAATTAATATTAAATGTTATACTTATAAATTAAATAAAATGGCGCAACTGAAGCTGCCTGGCTGCTCCTGCTTTCAACCGCACGATTGATGACCTGGCCGTCAAGCAAATACATATATATATATATACTCCATATATGTATGTTTTGTGGGAATCCTATAGGGTATATATGTTCAAGGGGTTTTCTGTGTTTGTGGGTCCCATTTCTACTATATCCCCCGCGTTATAAATGTGTGTTTGCCAAGTTTGACTTGCTACTTGCGCCACTTCCGCTGTGCGGAAAAATGCTTTTGATTTGATTTTCACCAAATGTCAACTTGACGTCACGTCGTCTGGCAGGGAAAGCGGAAAGGCGGAAAAGCGGGAAAGCGGACGTCGTCGTTGTCGCCGCCTTTGTTGTGCCGATTCAACTGCATGATTTATTGTTTTGATGAAATTGCGTGTAAACAATTTAGTGGCTGGTTGGCGCCCAAAGCCCAAGTAAAGTCCTCCCACCCTTTCAGTCAATGAACTTTGCAAAGACTTTATTTAAGGTTAAATATGGCAATATTTCATGGCCATAAACAAGTGGCAAAGTTGCATAGTTTTGAAGTTGTGCAAGAATTATGAAAGATTTCAGCGAGTTGATGGATTTAACTTTTTAATCATTTTTTTAGAGGTTATATATGCACAGACAGAAAAATCCAAGCACACTGTTCCTGAATTGAGAACATTCGTTCTTGAAAACCGTGTAAGTGCAAATTTTCTTATTTTAAGCTGAATGTTTTTAATTCAAGAACGAAAGAAAAAACCAAGTACATTGTTCTTGAATTGAGAACATTCCTTCTCGAAAAGCTTGTAAGTACAAATGTTCTTATTTTAAGCAGAATGTTCTTAATTCAGGATTGATATGGTAGAAGCTAACGAAGTGAAATGAATTAATTTCGTTCCATTTTCAAGTTGGTTTTGGTCTTAATTCAAGAACATTTTAATCATGATCAATACAAAATATATTCCGATAGATATTACTAACATAGTTGACCATTACCCACTGCTTTTGGATGGAACCTTTATCACTGTAAGTAAACCACACTCGTTGTAAATATGGAAATGCCATTTCGAAAGTGCAGCCACAGAAGCCACAAAGATGTCAAAAGAGATGGAGCCCGACCACACGAACTCTCCCTGGGCAATCCCTTAGTTATGGGGCAGTTAAAGCTGCAAGTTAACCACAAAACTGAACGCAGCATCGTGTGCAATTGCGACTGCCAATAAATATGCCATAACAATAAGCAAGGCGAGCTAATATCCGATTACTCTGCCCCGGCAAATGTGGCGTGAAAAGCGCCAAGCCAAACCAAGCCAAGCCAAGTCAAACCAATATACCCAGATACTCCTCGAAATCCTTCCGATTTCCCCTTGCCATTTGCCAAGGGAGCATGAAACAAACGCATAAGTAAATACCAGAAACGAGTGACTTTCAATATCCTCACAGGCTTATTGCTTACAGCAAATTTCACGCCAGCAGACAGACAAATACGAGGAGATGCGAATGCATTTACACATTTGCAAACACAAACATCAGAGAGACAGTTGCAAACATGCAACATACAAATATGCGTGGCACCCCCCAAAACCAATCTCCCCATTTTCCGAAGCATTTCCATCCTGGATTCGTATACGGTTTCGGATGTCGGACTGGGATCGGTTCGCACCCAGTCATGTCTGAGTGCGTTTCCTCCAACGCATTTACGTTTATTGCATTTGTAAATTATTCACACAAGGATATTAAATGCAAATTGTGAAATAGACGACACACTCGTGCTACGCTCCACAGATACAATATCCGTTGATGCCCATGTATATATTGGCGAATTACTCAGCTCCTGCATATGATTGTCACATGCAAAATCCTGAATCGAGATTCTCGTTTTCCGATTCAGAATACCCGCCTCGGGTACTCGCCATGGTTCTCATGGTTGCTGGGTCCTCGCATTTGATTTCCTTGAATGCCATTTGCCGGAAGGACCTTTTTGGCCCCATGTGAGGTTACTTGGGTCGATAGGTAGATAGTTGGTAACGCAATCTGACCACTTGATTGACTCTGGTCCCCATTTGGCTCACCTGGCTGCCTGCTTCGTGCACCTGCAATTCGATCCAGCGAGCAGAGATCAAAAATTAATTTTATTAAAGCACGTTGAGGACCTGCTCTCAGACCTTATTTATTCGTTTTCCATTACCTGATTACACTCTGACCCTCTGGACTGCCGGAAAAGGACACACATTCGAAAAGTGGCCAGAACAAGTTGGGAAAAAGTTTAATTTCACTAGCAAATTTCACTCGCATGCAACGCTGCCTAAACACGTTTGACATTACTGCTCCTGGGATATGTGGACAAAGTTTTGGGTGCCGGAGAGCGTAACATGCAAATCGAATTTAAACTTGCCAACACACACATCTGAAGGCCATCTGGCTGGAGGGCTTACACTTGCTACCAAATCGTCTATGCAGAACTGCAGCACCTGTCGGTAAATCAGTAAACAGTGACAATTATTTGACAATTATTGGCACTTAACATGGCCCCAAGCTAATTATCCCACTTAGCACCACAACACCTTAAGTCTGCGGTCCTATAAAAGACCCTTGAAAATGGAAAAAGCCAAACAGTTACCATGTTTAAAGTAAAGGATCTATTGCTCTCGCCGGAGACCTTCGAGGATCCCATCTTTAGAACCCATCTACGGTGCTTTCGATGGTACGGATATGTGGCATCTAAGGATCAGAAGAGACCATGGTTAAGTCTCCTACGATGCACTGTTTTCACGGCCTCTATTTGGCTGAGCTGTGCTTTAATGCTGGCCCGGGTTTTCCGGGGCTACGAAAATCTCAATGATGGGGCCACAAGTTGGGCCACTGCTGTCCAGTATTTCACAGTATCCATCGCCACTTTAAATGCCTACGTGCAAAGGGAAAGTAAGTTATAATATGACACTTTGGATATCTTATCATATAACATTTCTGAATGTTAAGTTAAAGATCTAGTTTCTTATCTTGCAAAAAAAGTTATTGTCAAGTAAAATTGTTCGAAGAGACAGTTTCGTTATCTCAATTTGGGGTTAATTTTACGAAAAACAAATCTTTAAAAAGTCTCATATCATACGATGTAGTTGCGAATTCGGTCTAACAAACCTGAAAAATAAGAGTATACAGATTTGCTTTTGTCAGTATTGTTTTTTCTACTGGCCATTAAACTAGAACATAACCTTCGGTTAAGTGTTTGAGTAACTGAATGATTCCGAAAAATTAAATTACCTTCACGACTAAAGTAAACTGATATTGAGGAATCGGAACTTAGTCTTTCAAAATTTACTTTTTCCTATAAATCATGTTTCATACTTCTCTTAGGAGTAATTTCCCTCCTGCGAGTGGCCTTCGAAGATATCCAAAACTTAATGTTCGTGGCAGATAGCCGAGAGATGGATCTCCTGGCCGCCACGCAGGTATATACCCGAACCATTACCTTGATACTGTGGGTGCCATCGATCATTGCTGGCCTGATAGCCTATTCGGACTGCCTCTATAGAACTTTGTTTCTACCGAAATCGGTATTCAATATGCCTGCAGTGCGACGAGGTGAGGAGCAGCCCATTCTGCTGTTCCAACTGTTTCCCTTTAGAGAACTGTGCGATAACTTCGTAATCGGCTTTTTGGGACCCTGGTACGCTATAGCTCTGGGAATAACCACCGTTCCATTATGGCACACCTTTATCACGTGCCTCATGAAGTACGTGAACCTCAAGCTGCAGATTCTCAATAAGCGCGTAGAAGAGATGGATGTAAGTTTTATGATATTATTAAATAAATATAGTACTAATATATATTTGGCTCCTCAAAGATCACACGACTAAACCCAAATTTGGTGTTGGAAAGGCTATCAACCAAAGAGCTAACCTATTGGCGATTGCAACTTTTCAAGGAGTTTGTAGAGGAACAACGGAGACTTCGGAAATTTATTCAGGAGCTACAATATCTTATTTGCGTCCCCGTTATGGCCGATTTCATTATCTTCTCGGTACTCATGTGCTTTCTATTTTTTGCCTTAACAGCTGGTGTGAGTTGGATCCTCTTAGATGTATTTTTCTAAATAATAATATGTATGGCTTAACAGGTCCCCAGCAAAATGGATTACTTCTTTATGTTCATTTATCTATTTGTGATGGCTGGCATACTGTGGATCTACCATTGGCATGCCACATTAATTGTTGAATGTGTGGGTATACAAAAAGCTTTGATTTAAATTTTGCTGTTTTCACATGAAGGATGAAACCGCATTTATTCAGAAAAAAACCATTCCTATTTGGTGTATCAATATGCTTTTCTAAAACGATTTTTGTTTACTTCGTTTTCGTTGAGCGGATTCCTTTAAACTTTGATTTTTTCAGCACGATGAATTGTCCCTTGCCTACTTTTCGTGTGGATGGTACAACTTCGAATTGTCCTTGCAGAGGATGCTGGTCTTTGTGATGATGCATGCCCAAAGGCCGATGAGGATGCGCGCCCTGCTGGTCGATCTGAATCTGAGGACCTTCATAGACGTAAGGGTCCCGAAACGATGGATTTCAAACGATTTCAACTGTTCCTTTTGCAGATTGTTCGTGGGGCCTACAGCTACTTCAATCTGCTGCGTAGCTCTCACTTGAATTAAACAGAAAAGCCTTTCCTTGGGAGCCAATCAAATGCCGTTGCGCTTGTCAACTCGTTTGGCTAACATGACAGTAAACAAGCCATGCAATTCATTTTGCCCGGCACACACTCACAAAAAACTAAGGAAAAGGAAGTCAAACGGGGGGGGAGGGATACATGTATCCTTCCATAGAAAGAAGTAGAAAGTAGAAGGGGAGCTAGTCAAATGCTAAACCATTTTACAGCGCAAATAAACGTGGCTCAAACTGAAGAGACGCCTGCTACTCAAAAAGCCAATGCAAGTAACGGGCGACATCATTTATCACTTGAGAAACGTCGCATGTCACTGGCATTGTATGTGTTTTGTTATATTGTCTTTCTCAATGGATATAAAACGATTTTTGCACTTCTTACCCACCGAACCACCGAAATACCCGCCCCTGGCATTATTTCCCTGCCGTGCCTCTAATTGTCTTGGGGGTTTAGACAAAGGAAATTTATGCGTCTGCCCCAGCAAAACGGTCAGATACATCAGGCCACCGCCACCACCCCAGCCATCAGCGGAAACTAACCAAACAAACCGAATCGTTGTCCCCCTGGGTGTATTTTTTAATATTATTAAGAGTATAGACAAAAAATAAAAAACAACCCGAGACCCACACCCAAATAAACACGCATTTTGTTGCGGTTGTTTTGCTCCCTGGGATTACACAAAGTGGCTAAATGGCTGATAAAGGCACACGCCGAACCTCGGCTACTAATGAGTATTAATGGCGGGGTTACGAGCTCGGCAGGTATGCCAGAATCGAGAACCCAGAACCATTCCGAAAACCCGGGCATCTACGTATGAATGTCCTCGGAGGGTGACAATAGCGAGGGTCACAGATAGTTGGTTAACAGCGTGAAAAGGGTTGTTGGTGAACCACTTGATTGAAATCTCTCAGAGGAAAGCGTTACCCTACCTCGAAAAAAACAGTGGAATGCGCTGATGTATGAGATACAACTCCTTTTATATTTTTGCGGCATCTGTAGTTCACATTTGTTCAGACAAACAAAACATGTTGAAAGGGTTGGTGGGGTAGCTTTTTTATACGCCACTTAGGGATCATTTTCAAGTACTAAACTCCGACTAAATACATAAATATTTTCAAAACAAATAAATACTATTCATGACTTCTTTTACGGGGGTTATTTGACTTTGGTATGAAATTGTTGCTAGCTTGTCATAAATAAAAACAGCATATAACAATAAATCAAGTTGCATTTTAGGTGATTCGATAGCAAAAACTTGTTTAAAGTAAAAAAAAAACTAAGAGAGAACGATATAGTCGAGTACTTCGACTAAAATATACTCGTTACTCAGCTAACTAATTTAACTTATAAAATAATAGTCGGACTTAACAATATTTATTAGCAAATAACACTAAAAAAGTTTCAAAGAGGGCGTAAGAGCCCCTAGAATTTGTACTCTAAGTCCCTCTAGCTCTTTAAGTTTCCGAGATCGTAGCGTTCAAACAGACAAACGGACATGGCTAGATAGACTCGGATCTTGAACAGGAATATATATACTTTATAGGGTTGGAACTCTCCCTTCTACCTGTTCCATAGTTCCAAACAAGTACGGTATACCCATTTCCTCTTTGAGAAACGGGTGTTATAAATGTACTTCCAGTATCGTAGACTTTCAGATGTCGAATATATGCCATTATTTTTAGGACGAATTTTCTCCAAGACAACATCAAGTAATAGACCACAACCAAAAATATAATTTGGTAAAAAGTGAAAACCACATTGGCATGGCCATAGCGAATTTCTGGCATCTGTTGTCGGTATTTTAAGCAATATTGGCAAATTTTTTATGGTTTTCGCTGCGCACGTTTTTTGTTGATTATTTATGACATTACATACATAATGCAAGCGTAATGGATGCGAGTGTTCATTAAGCACAATGAATGTCGTGCACTCAGTGCCAACCCTAGTCCCTCAAGGGGAAAATGCGTTGGGAGCCAGAGGGTTTTGCACATTGCGGTATGGTAAGTGTGTGAGCCACCCTCTTTGGGTTTTGCAGTTTTGCGAAAAAATTAAAATTTGCTGCACACATGTAATGAATATTTACAATACACTGCTGGCCTAACGCCACAAAAGAAATGAATTCAAAGGGAAACGAATTCTCGGAACGGGGCCACAAAGGAAAACCCCCTTAAAGAAGGCAAAACCTACTTATAGGGTTGGTACAGAAGGCCAAAGAAGCCAAAGAATTGTCGTATGTTACGATTATGCGTAGTCATATCTGTAAAACGGAAATTGACTTCTGTGAATATATATATTCGAAAAGGTAACTGACTGACAATTATATAATATAACCCTATAAAATCACATATTCAAAGTAAAAGTATGCAGCATATTATATTTCAGTAATCAAATATATATATATAGTGTTGCATGCATTTGGACACCATTAAATTCAAAAATGGTGACTTAGGAAGTAATTAAGCCCGTAATAAAAATAATTTTCTAGGAATTTGGTAAACCCATTTGGTCGAAACATTTTCATTTATAATTCTTTTTCACTTAAATGAGTGGGTGTACATACGTTTGTTGCGCTACCAAAGCTCTCCACTTTGGCCAACTAAGTGTTTTGCCATTAAACATTTACGATGGCACAGTTAAGGCAGCACACACGCGTGACTTGGCCAGCTGTTAGGTGGAATAAAGATGGTTATTAAAATTAATTAACGCACGGCGATTTGTTGGCCGGCGCCATAAAGCGAAATTAAGTTGTAGTTAAATTTTGAATGCATTAAATTAATCATAAGCAGGTCGGGCGCCCATCTGTTGGCCGGATATGGGCACTCGAGCTTGGCCAAAAGGGCAGCAGTTGTATCACCAGAGGAGCAGCCCTGCCCAGGATATTATGCACATTTAAATGCAACTGATTAATCATGGATAAAGTTGTTCTGCGTTCACAGTTGCTGCTGCTGCTGCTGCTGTTGCTGCTTTTGCTGGTCACGTGACTGCAAACAATTTGACTTCAAACACATTAACAGTTACGGTCGGGCACAACCGGAGGAGGTCAGGGGAGAGCCGGATAACTCCCGGGGAGCAAATACGGGTCCTGCACGCAGAGGGTTTGTCACCAGCAACAACTTAACTTGGCTAACTAAAACTTTTCATGCATTGCCGTTGACAGTGCAATAAACATGCCAAAACAAATGCAGCAGAGGCAGCAACAACAATGGCAACAACTTATGAAAACAACAGCGTCAACTGACCCGCCCCCACCACGCCCATACTGCATGAGGGGTGGTGGGCTAGGGGTTCTGGAGCTACCCCTTTGAAAATAGACACGTAAGCCATTGAAATATTTAGTCACTGGGAGATGGGGAGTCGAGAATTGTTCGACGCCTTTTTCCAAGAATTTCGAAGGAAGCGCAACTACTCGACTGATTTATGAAGTTTGCATCGACATTGGAATTTTTACGACGAACAACTTTACTCTGTCTTAATTATATAGTATATAATAGGGAACCGCTTGGGAACACCGCGTGTTGTTGGCCTCGTCAACAACTTTTTGCCGCTTTTATATTTTTCATCGCAATCTGAATAGCATTTTTCGCTGCAAATTCAAAATGCAAAATTCAAATGAAAAATTTATCCACAATTTCGACTATTTCAAAATTATTTCTTGCACTGATATTTTTCTTAAAGCACACGACTCCAAACCGTTTCAATCCATTTATTTCGATTAAAAGCATTTTCAATATTGCAATATTGGCCGAAGGTAGTGTAAATAGAATCTAGCAGGACCGAAGTTCCAATTCAGAGTATAAGGCCAACGCTTAGCCCTGCGACTTTCGCCAACGACCATACCACGCTGAACACATCGGTTCTCGTCCGATCACCGAAATTAAGCAGCGTCGGGCGCGGTTAGTACTTAGATGAGGGACCGCTTGGGAACACCGCGTGTTGTTGGCCTCGTCAACAACTTTTTGCCGCTTTTATATTTTTCAACGCAATCTGAATAGCATTTTTCGCTGCAAATTCAAAATGCAAAATTCAAATGAAAAATTTATCCACAATTTCGACTATTTCAAAATTATTTCTTGCACTGATATTTTTCTTAAAGCACACGACTCCAAACCGTTTCAATCCATTTATTTCGATTAAAAGCATTTTCAATATTGCAATATTGGCCGAAGGTAGTGTAAATAGAATCTAGCAGGACCGAAGTTCCAATTCAGAGTATAAGGCCAACGCTTAGCCCTGCGACTTTCGCCAACGACCATACCACGCTGAACACATCGGTTCTCGTCCGATCACCGAAATTAGGCAGCGTCGGGCGCGGTTAGTACTTAGATGGGGGACCGCTTGGGAACACCGCGTGTTGTTGGCCTCGTCAACAACTTTTTGCCGCTTTTATATTTTTCAACGCAATCTGAATAGCATTTTTCGCTGCAAATTCAAAATGCAAAATTCAAATGAAAAATTTATCCACAATTTCGACTATTTCAAAATTATTTCTTGCACTGATTTTTTTCTTAAAGCACACGACTCCAAACCGTTTCAATCCATTTATTTCGATTAAAAGCATTTTCAATATTGCAATATTGGCCGAAGGTAGTGTAAATAGAATCTAGCAGGACCGAAGTTCCAATTCAGAGTATAAGGCCAACGCTTAGCCCTGCGACTTTCGGCAACGACCATACCACGCTGAACACATCGGTTCTCGTCCGATCACCGAAATTAAGCAGCGTCGGGCGCGGTTAGTACTTAGATGGGGGACCGCTTGGGAACACCGCGTCTTGTTGGCCTCGTCAACAACTTTTTGCCGCTTTTATATTTTTCAACGCAATCTGAATAGCATTTTTCGCTGCAAATTCAAAATGCAAAATTCAAATGAAAAATTTATCCACAATTTCGACTATTTCAAAATTATTTCTTGCACTGATTTTTTTCTTAAAGCACACGACTCCAAACCGTTTCAATCCATTTATTTCGATTAAAAGCATTTTCAATATTGCAATATTGGCCGAAGGTAGTGTAAATAGAATCTAGCAGGACCGAAGTTCCAATTCAGAGTATAAGGCCAACGCTTAGCCCTGCGACTTTCGCCAACGACCATACCACGCTGAACACATCGGTTCTCGTCCGATCACCGAAATTAAGCAGCGTCGGGCGCGGTTAGTACTTAGATGGGGGACCGCTTGGGAACACCGCGTGTTGTTGGCCTCGTCAACAACTTTTTGCCGCTTTTATATTTTTCAACGCAATCTGAATAGCATTTTTCGCTGCAAATTCAAAATGCAAAATTCAAATGAAAAATTTATCCACAATTTCGACTATTTCAAAATTATTTCTTGCACTGATTTTTTTCTTAAAGCACACGACTCCAAACCGTTTCAATCCATTTATTTCGATTAAAAGCATTTTCAATATTGCAATATTGGCCGAAGGTAGTGTAAGTAGAATCTAGCAGGACCGAAGTTCCAATTCAGAGTATAAGGCCAACGCTTAGCCCTGCGACTTTCGCCAACGACCATACCACGCTGAACACATCGGTTCTCGTCCGATCACCGAAATTAAGCAGCGTCGGGCGCGGTTAGTACTTAGATGGGGGACCGCTTGGGAACACCGCGTGTTGTTGGCCTCGTCAACAACTTTTTGCCGCTTTTATATTTTTCAACGCAATCTGAATAGCATTTTTCGCTGCAAATTCAAAATGCAAAATTCAAATGAAAAATTTATCCACAATTTCGACTATTTCAAAATTATTTCTTGCACTGATTTTTTTCTTAAAGCACACGACTCCAAACCGTTTCAATCCATTTATTTCGATTAAAAGCATTTTCAATATTGCAATATTGGCCGAAGGTAGTGTAAATAGAATCTAGCAGGACCGAAGTTCCAATTCAGAGTATAAGGCCAATGCTTAGCCCTGCGACTTTCGCCAACGACCATACCACGCTGAACACATCGGTTCTCGTCCGATCACCGAAATTAAGCAGCGTCGGGCGCGGTTAGTACTTAGATGGGGGACCGCTTGGGAACACCGCGTGTTGTTGGCCTCGTCAACAACTTTTTGCCG